AATGCTTGATCGAATGTTCGAAAATATTTCAAGTTTCATCTCGAAGAACTTTCAGCAAGTTTCTCCACACCATCTCATTCGATATTGGATTCCAAAGGTACTATTAAAGAGTATGCATACCTATTATCCAGTTACTTGTGTCGCATTACCAATTTATGTATTTGACCCCCAAGTTTTGTGTTGGAATTAAGCTTAAGTAGTATTTTAAAGGATACTCAGTGATCGCATAGGGAAATAAATAAGTTCGAGGCTTCTTCTGAGTTACCTATACCACAACCAGGTTCGGTGACTTAAGATTTTCCTAATAAGTCCTAAATTCGATATCTTTAATAGATTCTGTGGCTCACCCTTCGATATAATTCACGAGGTTCTTATCCTTTTATATTGAATAAGGATAAATTACTTTCTCGCGTCCCTAATGAGGTCAAACAAAGCTGCTAAAATATGTATGAAAATTTTTTACTAATGAGTTGAAGAAACCTCATCACAGTGCTGTCACTAAACGTTTTGCTTTAGGAGAATTATTGATCTAGTTAGCCTAGGACGTTAGGACACGAGCACGCATAGATCTTCTTTAACTCAAAAGATTACTGGCAATCAATTTCTTTATTTAGGAATATACTTTTCGAAATATCTATGGTGGATCATTTCGTATTTTAAAGTTCTGAAATCTCATTATTTTCCGTATAATTGTGAAATTCATTCAGATCCACCTGAAATACCAGCCTCTGAATCTGGGTGCGAACGTCTCTACGAAGCTGAACGTTGACGGTAAAAAGTAGTTACTCAAACAGTAATTCTTGTGGAAGGTAACTCATATAAATTAAATAGAGATGATACCCCACTACTGAATCCCCATGGACCCTACACGATGTCTCATTAGCCTACGAAAATTCGGCAGCAACTTAGATATGACCTGAGACAGTATTTCAGAATTAAACTAGTACCTACTATCTTCAGCTTACTGACAGGGTATATATGAACAACTTTATTGAAGACCTTTGGCAAATTGAAACATCATATCTACCTTGCTCCCTCAATCAAGGAAGATATTTCATGTATCTACCATAGTCAAGCGATTAGTTATTCAGGTATGGTCCTTCCTGAAACTGTCCTATAAGAGCGAGAGGAAGTAAGCGAATGTCGTTGCAGAGGACATCCTAAACTAGGGATTCCATGACCACTGTTGGTGACAAAAAGAATCGATACCAGTAATTTCATTGCTGATTGCGTTAGCCTCCTTTATGTACTATAGTAATATGCGCTATCTTCTTCTTGTACTAGATCAGCTTTGATTCACTGAATGTGAGGATATTAGAATATGTTGCCTGAAGTATCACATTCGGAACGCGAATTATTTCTGGTTCCCAAAGAATTCTCATACGATGTTCTTTCGCAGAAGATACACTATTATGCAAGGTATTTCAGAATACTTAGACGCTGGTAATGCAGTCAACGTTATTCAAGAGTGGAAATTCATGAGGCAGTCCTTGAAATGTGCGAATATATCGATAGAACAAATACAAATAGCTAGTAAGGACGGGAATGCTTTACTCTGGTTAATGGATTCAATCCATTACACTGCTAAAATGGCGGCTGCCGCTCTTAAGGCATTTCATGCCAGCAGACTGCTCGTACCCAAAGAGTAAATTTGCTAGTTACCTTACGAAAAGTTCATTCAGATAAACAGGATGTGAACTCTTCGGCATTTAAGACCAAGAGAATAAACTGCTGATGTGGGAACGCTGCGATTCTACGGGACAAAACTAATAAGTTACATGAACTAAGCAACGTTATTGGACATCTGAAATAATCGACCAGGAGCTTGTAATAACCGGCACTTCTTTGTCTAGTGGAGAAAAACTGGAACAGAAGCCCTTCACTTGCGATTCTGCTTATTCCATTACTCACTCTCCATTTAAAACACCAACGTCTATGTTTCCGAGTCATTTTATGCTAGTATTTCGACTGTCAAGGAAAAATATGCCCCAGCAGTCCTGGAAAAACTGTATCTTCAAACACGTCAACCGTCACATGCGACCTACATTAATGAGCGCCTCATCTTCTTCCTAAGAATAAACTAAAAAGTGAACACAACTGCTAAGGTGGTTTGGTATCTATAAAGAACATTTCTCCTGGATTCAGACTGGTTCACTGTACCACGCTGAAACAAGAAGCGTCAAACTTGGTGACAGTGTTTAGCGTGGTGTTCTCTTAATCTTGTGTAGCCAACCGGCTGGCCACTTTTATTTCTCAAACGCTTTTAAGAAGGTCGATCACAGATGTATCATCAATAAGCTCAAACGTTTAGGTAACAGGTCATCTATGATGGACTGGTTCATTTCATATCACAAGTAGAAGGTCTCCTTGAAGGATTCTGATCGTAGTTCTTACTTGGCATTGAGAAACAGATGCAGTACCTAAGTTCGAAGTGATAGGAGACGATTTCTAGCAGTCAAAGTACAGGCGAACCCGAAGCATCTGTTTAGGTTCATGACTAAACGAAAACCTACGAATCAGGGTGTATTCCCTATAAGGTCCCAATGGAGAAGACCTCACCAACCTAGAGATTGCTGAGATCTTCGATACAAGCCTCACTGAGCAGTTAAGCTAGGCATCCACATGCTCAGAGTACGACGCAAACCACGTTCCACCTGACGGCTTAGGGAATATCCGTATTACTCATAACCTAGTACTAAGGAAACTAAAATCCTTACGCCCAGCAAAGCCACGGAACTGTGACAACATTTGTCGTATAGTCTTGAAACAATGTGTGAAGGCCTAAGTACACCGATATGTGAACTGTTCAGGTATTCACTCGAGTCCTACCAACTCCCAGCTGAATGGAAACAAGCTACTTTCTACAATCTTCAAGGGAGGAGGTAGGAAGAGCCCAGTCTGTTACAGAACAGTCGCATTACTACCGATACTATCAACGGTAATGGAAGGGCTGGTGAACGAACAGATGAGGGAGTACTTGGATAAGAACAAAATACTCCATGAAGCTCAACACGGGTTTTGGAAAGGCAGGCCGTGCGTATCTAAACTTCTCATAGCATGGAACAGTTGGACATCCTGCCTGGACCGAAAAATACCGGTGCACGTAATATTTCTTGACTTTACACAAGCCTCCGACACAGTACCCTACGCACGCCTAATCGCGAAGGTTGAGGAAATGGGCTTCACTGAGCCAATCCTATCTTGGCTCAAGAACTTCCTTCAGAATAATAAGTTTCGTACCAAGGTAATAGAGTGCATGCCAGTTGGTGTGTCTTGACATCAGGAGTTTCACAGGGGACATCTTAGGAGCAATCCTCTTCCCGATATCTATTAACGACCAGCTAGACTCAGTTAGCTCGCCGGCATCGATCTGCTCAGACGATGAAAAGATCTGGAGGTCCATTAGAAGCGAAGAAAATTCTACTAGGCTTCAAAAGGACCTTTCATTTATAGAGGAATGGGCAGTGAAAGACGGTTTATAACTCAGCCACCCGCAAACCACTTACACCCTCAGTGAAAGTCCGCTCCCTAATGTCTCCTCAGAGCGCGATCTCGGTTTAATAACCACATAAAGCCTCCACACAGGCCCGAGCCATATAGGGGACGCAGCCAAGGCGAATGTGACTCTTCATCTTATGAGAAGACAACTTGGTGCTACCACCCCAGATTTGTTCCGAAGATAGACTCCAGCACTTTGGATTATCCCACCTGAGTTACTGGAGAATCAGAGGTGATCTGATTATGGCGTACAAAATATTAAGCAAACCAAACCATACCAACGTGAGCATCTTACCGATGCATCATCACCACTCCCCTCGAGGCAATCCTCGAAATATTTTGCATCAAAGAGCGAATACTCGGGTTCTCATCAGGAGTCATTGCAACGTGGAAGGCCGTTCCAACCGAGATGACTAAAGACTCCTCAACGGAGAGCTTTAAGAAGTGACTTGATAATCAGATACTCACATACGGATTATCGTCTCCCTCACGGACAAGCAGTGCCTGATGCATGTCTTCAGACTTGCTTGCCATTACTATTGCCATCTACTCAAATCAATAACTTAATCTATCTCGCCTATTATCTCTGTTTCCTTTCCATCGCTTACATTTTGGTCCTCTCTCACAATCTTCACTACCAATTAATAAACTAAATTATCTATATATTACTTAGTTCTGAAACCCTCTTATTACCATTAAAATTTTCCCCTTATTATCCTTAACATTTCAACTAAACGGTATTCGGTCTGATACTCTGATAGCTGTTGGTATCCAGAAACCCTACTGCCCTGAAACAAATGTCTTCATTCAAATCTCGGGACATACGCACTCACAACCAACTTCCAAATGACTAGGATTAGACAGTCGAGTGGCTAGACCCCCCTTTAATTGGTTACCACCAAACACCTGGAACTATACCGAAAGAACAAGAATCGAGCGTAAAGAAACTAATTGGTTTAGACTGGCTCGTTAAAAATCTATTGGATATTGGAAGTGCCGACTTTTCTATCGACTCACGTACTCACGAAACTTGTCACTGCAAAACGTGGCTTCGTGAATCTCAAAGAGGATTGGACCGGTTGAGATGCCACCTTTTGTAGGAACATAACAAACCACCAAGCATCGTGTCCTCCCTAAACCGAGGCCGGGACTACTTCTTTAGCAGCTCATCCGGACGATTCTGGGAATGGTTAGACTTTAAAACGCTCTTAAGTACTCAAGTGTCCAATCAAAATTCATTAAAAAAGCAGAAGGGTTTAAATTACGGAAAAGAGGCATTTTGTGTAATTGACATTTCTGTATTTAGGAGAAATTATCAACATGTGCGTTACATTTTAGCATAGCATGCTTCGAAACTGTCTATCACCATTTCATCTTCATTAAAGGGTAACGTTACATCTGAATCAATTAACACAAAGTTTTTTTTAGATCAGGTCTGTTGAAGTTTATGTGAGATCCTTAATCTCTCTGTAAATCTTCATTGAAGCTTGTAGTAACAGCGAATGCTACGTCCCTTCTCGTGCTACAAGCGCCTAATAATTACCACCACAAGATATTTTAAAAGTAGTCGTTTGGAAGATATAATGGCACAACCACCACCGTACTCCATATCATTAACCGTTGTTGGCAATGGACGGACTGGTTCCTCAAAATCTGTGCTTATTGATACAGGAGTATGCCGTTATTTGGTCAACTGTGGTGAGTCGACTCAAAGAGTCTTGGCAGAATCTCGGTAATAATGCATCCGGTTAACCTTATTATTAGAATGCAATCTACGCGCGTACAACACGTTTTCCTTACGCGTATGTCCTGGGAATGTACTTCTGGATTACTGGGTACGTACGAATGCTAGTTATATATTTTAAGGTGTGGCATTGACTGCAAAAGCCGCAGGAGTCAAAAAGTTGACCATACATGGACCTCCAGAGTTAGTAAGTTGTTTAGTATACAAAATATAATGTTTCGGAAAAGTATGTCTTTCAATATTATACAGTAGAAATTCAGATAAAAACGAAAATAACGTGTATCCTTTATAGATAATGGTTGTTGTCTTTAGCTTAGATATCATGCTGTACAACGTCATCTAAGGTTATCTCCCCATACCATCTGCTCTCTTAGTTGACAAAGATGTGGTTTTCCACAAAGCTCTTTCATAACTAAGAAGCACAGTCGTATCGTAAGGATACTAAGTGTCCTTGTTATTCTGTCTTCCGAGGCGCTTTGGCTGTTCTGGTTATTGTCATTTATTTCTGACTTGGATGCTCACCAAAGCAATTATAGTCATTTGCATATCTTCCTTGAAATGTTTCCTTTTGAAATTTGCGTGTTCCTATTTTCGTCCTGATTTTGTGCATGGAAGGTGTATTCATTTTAACATTCGTTCTTAAAGATTTCGATTCAGTAACAAATTAGATATTTAAATTTAGAAAATAATGTCACTTTTGTATGAAAAAGCCTTTTAGCTGACTAGTAAATATGTCTTCGCTTTACATAGACTTTTAGATGAGTCCGTTAAAGAAGCAACACTAATCATTCCTGTAAATAGCCTTATCATATGTCCGCTTTACTGAGAGTTATTTTAGAAGTAAATCCATCTCGTTTTCACCGTTTTACTGTAGTATAGCAAGTAATTTATCATCTAGGGTTTTTAAGGCTCACTTTTGTTTCTAGCAAGTCAGAGAAACTAGGTTATAAGGATATAAGTGAAGACTTCTTGTAAGACGCTATAATAAATGTGGATGCAACCTTTCATGTAAGTCAAAAGTAATATCAGGAATGTTTTGAAGGTAGTCCTTGAAAATTAAGATACAAGCTTTCAGACTGTGTTAAACAAATCTATCGCTTATACTAACTGGAAATGCAGTCATATAGCTGTGCTATCCAGCCACTTAATATGCTCTTCAAATTAAGTCGAATAAAGGTTTCTGGAAAAGTTTTTCCGTGTTTTGGTTTGTATTACAAGGTGATAACAAATTTCCCGTTCTACAGGAACTATATTGGTTACAACCTAAAAAAAAAAACTAAATATTTGAAATCGAGTTGTTCGCTGAATTTACTACTTCACAAAAATGAGCGCAAATTTTTATGCTATTGGGACCGATTATTTAAAGTACAACTAGTGGATCATCAGTTAATGCACTTACGTCTGTAAATGGCTAGACATTGAGACAATTATCACTTAAAGCATGGTACAAAGTATATTGTTAATAGTTAAAAGGAATTGTTTTACTTTCATCGTTACATCTTTTTTGGTACGACCATATTTCAGATTTTAACTGTCGTTGATAATATTTACTTCTCTATTTAGTTCCTTAAGGATAGTTTTTCCGCTTACATAATACATTACATTTAGCTTTAGATCCTTGTATTCAGTTGATCGCCCTCAATATTATGAGCAGCAGTTGTGTGTGCATTTAGCATTTAATCACAACATTCTAGATCGTTAAAGTTTACTCTGTAAGCGTTTGGTTTCCTGTCTACCAAGGTTTAATCTTTATTGCATTCAAGATATGGCATATTTGGTGATTGGTAATTTGTATAGTTATCTTTAAATAGCTTATACAAATGTACGGTTCTAAATCATTCCTATAAGGTCATAATCTATGATGACCCCTACTTGTATATCGTTTGGTCAATTATTCCCTTTACTCACTGCGCAATTTTTATGCCCCTAGGAACATTTGATGCAACTGACTCGTCCGTTCGCTGATAGTAATACAACCGATATCAGTAAGTTCTTTCGTTGCTCTTCAGTTATAGTTTTATTTCGTGGTTAAAAGCCTATTCTTCCGTTAATTGATTGATTGCATCACAACCAGTTATTTGTATATTTTTTAAAATCAGCTCATTTTAGTTTGCTGTTTTCTTTGCTCCTCATTTCAGTCATGAGTGAAATTCACAAGAAGTGTTACACTGATCATGCATTTCGCATACAGTCTTTCCAAATATTCAAGCCAATAAATGTAAATGAAGAACCAGGTAAGTTTTCATTGTTGGACCTTTAGTTACAGTCATATCGTAACCTAGTAACCGATATCCATAACAACTCGTTAGTAATCTACAGCAATGTAGTCAGTTATTTGTGAGTGGCTTTTGATGTAATTTTACTAAATAGAATTTCGAAACAAAGTATTGCTCCAAAGTGGACTCGGAAAGATAGGGACACTCGCCGTTTCCTCTTCGTCGTATCTGCCTACGCTCCCACTGACTGAAGTGAAAAGGAAAGACACCTGGGTGGATCTTATTATGTCGTGGCTAATAGAATAGATAATGGCGACCGTCTGCTGCAGCTATGCTCAGATAACCGCCTATTCCTAGCAAACACTAACTTTAAGCATAAGGTAAAACACCTTTTGACCTGGCGACCCCAAAAGCCGACCCAACTAGATCACATCGCTATGAGTTGTCAGTGGAGAGGCTCTGTTGAAGACTGCCGCTCATTCTGGGGCACTTGTTTAGACTCAGACCATACTCTAGTGCGAGCGCGTATATGTTTCCGCCTTACTGGACGCAAGAAAAATATCGCTAGGCAACCTCTTAGGGCTCTACTTAATGATACTAAAGCTGAGTAAATATTTCAGGAAAAACTAGAAAAAAAGTTAGGGCAGCCATGTAGTAAGTGATTCCCACCCTAAGGCAGCTTGGAATGATATCAAAAGGGCTGTGGAAACAGCAGTGATATCTTCTAGTAAGGTAAACCATAAAGTTAGGGAGAAGCCGTGGATCTCAGTAGTATCCACCGAACTGATGGATGCTCAAAAACTCATTCCACCTGACTATGAACATGAAGAATAAAGTCAGCTTAGGTACAGGCTGACAAAAAGACTACGCAACGACCGTGAATAGTGGTGGGTGGTGAAAGCAAAAGCGATAGAAAAGGCAGCGGCTACAGGCAACAGTAGACAACTTTTCCGTCTTGTCAAGGAAACTGGTATTAGGAATCCTACTGTAAGTGAGACTATCTCGGAAAAGGATGGGAATATTACTTATTTTTAATCCAGGAGATTTGATCGATGGGCAGAACACTTTAGGGATCAGTTCAACTGGCCTTCAGCCACACTTCGGTTACCCACAATCTCCAGTCATCCTGAATGGCATTCGACATAAGCCCTCCGAACCTTTATTAAGTTGAAAAAGCGTTAGGAAATCTGAGGCGAGGGCGAGCTGCAGGTCCTGATAGACGGACCCCTGAGATATTTAAGGATGGTGGTCCAGTTTTAGTAGCTAGGTTGACTGAGATGTTAGGTAGAATCTGGGGACTGGACGTAATCCCATCTGACTGGTCTCAATCACTGATTGTCCCAATTTATAAGAAAGGACAAAAGTCCTTTTGTGACAATCACAAGGGAATAAGTCTAACAAATATAGTTTCTAAATTGTTAGCCTCGATTATACTTAGACGCCTAACTAGTGCTCGTGAAGAACGGACTAGAAAAAACCAAGCTGGCTTTTGACCTGGACGTGGCAGTATAGACCATATCTTCACAATACGACAGGTCCTGGAACACAGACACACATTTAGGCGTCCGACAATAGTTGTCTTCCTGGTCCTTAAGGCGGCATTCGACTCTGTCGATCGTGAGGTTCTGTGGCAGTGTCTGTCATTGAGAGGTGTACCAAAGAAGTACAATAACCTCATACAAGCTCTCTACTCGAACACTACAGGTCGAGTTAGAGCTTATGGCGAACTGTCACTGCGATTCATTACGTCAAGTGGTGTCCGCTAGGGGAGCCCACTTTCCCCATTCTTGTTTAATTTTATCATAGACATGCTCTTAGAAATAACCTTATCCTCGTCTGAATTTTCAGGAGTAGAACTTTTACCAGGTGGCCCGCTTTTCGACTTAGAATATGCCGATGACATAGTTCTATTTGGTGAAGACGCTGACAAAATGCAGTTTTCTGACTACCATAAGCAACAATGCGAGCATGTTCGGGATGCGGTTTTCCCCGTCGAAATGCAAAGTGTTGCTTCAAGATTGGGTTGCATCGGCACCTGAACTAGTGATAGGGAGTGAAGTAGTCGAGTGTGTTGACCACTTCACTTATCTGGGGAGTCTCATCAGTGCTGATGGCCTGGTGACTGACGAAATCTCAGCACGGATACAGAAAGCTCGATTGGCTTTTGCCAACTTGTGTCACTTATAGTGTAGGCGACATATCCGTTTGCTAACCAAACGACGAGTGTACTGTGCAGCAGTTCGCTCCGTCCTACTTTATGGCTGTGAAACATGGTCGGTGAGAGTAGGAGATATTCGTAGGTTACTGGTTTTCGACCATAGGTGTCTTCGAAGCATTGCTCGTGTATCCTGGGACAACCGAGTAAGCAATTCTGTCGTTAGGAAACGGGTGCTGGGTAAGGATGGCAGATCAATCGATGAAGTGGTGAAACTTCATCATTTGAGGTGGTTGGGACATGTGTTGTGTATGCCTAACCACCGACTGCCTCGTCGAGCTATGTTTTGTGGTGTTTTAGGAGTAGGTTGGAAGAAAGCTTGGGCCGGCCAAACCAAAATATGGCAGAAATACATTAGTTCATTGACAAGTGGACTGAGTCATGTCGGCATGTGTCGACTACCTGGTTGGGGTCCGCGAGATGTTGGTAATCGATGGTTAGAGACTTTGAATGACATGGCTCAAAACCGTTTGCAATGGTGCAGGTGCATTCATTCTTTGTGTTCTCTCAAATCCTAAACTTTTTAATTCTTCATCATTTTATCTTTTTAAATCTTTTTCACAAGATTCTACTTCTTGAATAATATCTTCTAATCGTAACCTCTCCGACTGCTGCTAATACCTTTACTACCTCTACTACTACTGGATTTGAATTGACAATTACATCTCTGTGCTAATGTGGTATGGCAATATAAACTGACGTACGTACGTACGTACGAAGTTCTATGTTGCTATTGATTGGTTGATTGACTAGCAGATATCATTGCTGTTTCCACAGCTTTCCAGATATCGTTCCATGCTGCCTCGGGAATCATGTACTTGACCGCCTAACGTCTTCTAGTTACTCCTGAAATTCATTCTTAGCTAAGCTATCATTAAGTAGAACCCGAAGAGGTTTTCTGGTAGTGTTTTTCTTACGTCCAGTAAGTCGCAAACAAATATGCGCTCGCACTAGAGCATGATCTGAATCTAAACATGTGCTCTAGGAGGAGCTACAGTCTTCCTTCTAGCCTCTCGAATGGTGGCTGATAGTAATATGATTTAGTTGGGTACAGCGTCGGAACGACTTAGAGGTCTCCATGTCAGATGTTTTCCTTATGCTTAAAGTTAGTATTTGCCAGAAATATGAGGTCATCTGAGCTTCCCACACCATGTAAGGGCATTTCTTGTTGAGACCTGAAAAGGTAGGTGGGTTAGCGTTGCTCTTAGTAACCTGATAAGCTGACTATAGCCCAAAGGACAACTGCTTGAGACCGGTCACGTATGACCTTCCCGTGGGGTTTCCAAACTGTTAGCTCCGCTCTTCAAAAGACCTTACAACCGGAGATTCTGTACGTACGTGCAAAGTTCTACGTTGCTGTTGATGGTGATGATTGCTTCGAAGTGACTTTTCCTACTTTCGACAAGAACAATCTTTTTTCATTATAAACAATATCAGTCCTCTTGTTCATCCTTTAACACTGCTGACTTCTAGTTTAATTTACGCAAGAAATTTAAAATCACTCAGCTTTCTCGTAAGGATTTAGCCTGTGACCGAATGCAGTAAATATCTCTCCACAAGTTGTATTCTACTTACTCAATTACATCTAAAGCTTACCTTAAATTACGTATCATTATACCATTATATTATCGTCATCTTGCTTCCTTTATCCCCTTGCATTCATTTGATTCAATTTTATCAAATAATTTCGAGTGGTTGGGTTATATTGTCTTTATAAGTTGAATTTATTTATATACTAATATCCAGCTAACACTAAATGCTTTGGAACTAAATGTGTTAAAACTAAATGTATCATAGACTGTCGTTATTGTTTCATTTAAGAGTCTTTGTTCAGATGATTTTTTTCAAATAGCCTTCTCATATAACCCCCCCATATACTCCTTCATTTCTAAAAAGCTCATGGAAGTCAACATGTTGGAATGAAAATTGTCTTTAGGAATTGAGGTTAGCAAATGTGAAAATATAGTTTGCAGTAAAATGTAGGACATTTGGGGGTTCTTTGTTATGGAGTAGGTTTTCTGTTATTTCATTAGACGAAATTTCACCTGTTAAAATCAACGAGTAGAATACTGATCAACAGATAAAGGGAATAATATAATGTGACTTAGTAAAGTCTACTTACTAGTCTATATGACTGACTTAAACATCCAAAGTATTAGAGATCAAAGATAAGATCACCAGGTAGGTGTATTTTCTCATGTATAAAATGAAATACTTATACACACAATATGAACACAAAATAAACATGATGAAATTTCATGGGCGATTGAAAGAAATTAGCTCGTAGATTACTTATTCTTCAGTAAATTAAAATCTGACGCTGTGAAATAATCTTTGGACACCGTATCTTGCTTAACCTGTTTTCCATGGTACCTTCAATCCTTTATACCCTTTTCGTCAAAAGCATCGTAAGATAGATTCAAACATTATGCTATTGTGTACAATGTGGCTGATGTTTTCTCTGGTATTTTATCTTCCAGTCTCCAAACGACGGAAAGAAAATCTGAATTGTGTACCTGAATCTAATGTTTTTATTTACTATTTCCAGGTTAGTCAAATTAGAAAATAGATATACATATTTCACTGATGCTATGGTTCATTATCATTGGTTCTCTCTTGTTAAATAAACAACCTGAAAACATGCTTAATTGTTAATTAGTAAGGCCCACAGCTTTTAAATACTTTGAAAATGAAAAGAAGATTTTCTTATGTTTATCCAAATCGCTAACAATGTTTTCATTCTGCAAACTTATTCGAAAGATTAGCTAAACCATTGTCGGCCAAGACAAATGAGTATAAAGATTTCCAAAATTAACACTTGCAACTTATTGTGTGTATATTTAAATGCAGATAAGTCACTAGTCGCTTGCTACCCGTGATTTTTTAGAATTATCTAAAAGACGATTGGATTCCAAGGTTGAAACAATAACTTTTCTGTGTTTAACTTATGACTAAATTTTCTATGTTTATTTAACCCGATATAATACTTTGACTGCTAAGAACTTTGTAATAACACAAATGATGAGGTATCAAAGGTGCGAACATATCTGTTTTTCGAACTTTTTCTACAATGTTTGGTTCACATCTACAATATCTCACTTTTAGTACCATTTTCGGAGTGAGAATTTCCAAGCTGGTCCCTTCCTAGTATCAACTGATAAGCAGTAAATGAAACGTATCAAAAGAACTCACCGACTCCCATTAAAGCAGTTTTATTGCAGAAGAGAATTTAGGTTAAATGATGAATAGGTTTCACGTTGTTAAGATGAATGAATCGCATTAAAACGAATGCTTATTGGTACCACCCAGTGTCAATCAATAGGTGGTGGATGCGATAATGCGAGTCGGTCGAGTGGTTGATACCAAAGACACGATCACTAGCTGGAAGAAAATGTTCATCGTATAATAAAATAACACATACCAATTCTTAAACATGACATGACTGGTTATCATAAAAATTGCTCGCTAGTAAATTAAGCTCTAAGTATTAGGCTTAATTAATGCTTACCATATCAGATTCTGAATTTTGCATCAGAATATTATAGTTTCACCTTGAGATCATGAATAAACCAGTGGTCCAGAGGTTAAGCGTTTGCTTGCAAGATCGGAGGTCCTGGGTTTGAATCCCGCGGGTAGCAGGAGTCGTAAATGCGCACTGCTGGTGAGTCCCATACCAGGAAGAAACGGCTGTCCAGTGCTTCCCGGTTTCTAATAGTGGTGCAACAATGATTCATTCATGATTTCAAGGTAAGATCCTGAATTGCTTGACGAAACCTAAGTGGAAAGAACAACGTTAAGAAGAGAAGGAGTCAAGTTATAACTTGGCTAAAGAATGTTAGTTCAATGTTAGATCCAAGTAGTCATACTTGGCAACATCACCAAAAAATCGAATTTAAAGGAAATAGAAAATAATAGTCCTCAACTTTAAAAAGCAAAATGTTATCTCAGAACAGAGGAAGAGTAAATTCCTAATGGTAAAATAACTAAGTATGAAAAAGTTTAACAATATTCATCTATATGATTTGTGATTTAAAATTTTAGTAATTAAGAAATAAGTACCTTAGACGACAAAGCTCTATACCGGTGACTTAACTGATATCCTCCTATAGTAACAAAGAACCATCTTCCGATTAGTCCAGTCATTAAAATGACCAAATTGAGTAAATCTATTATTACCACTCCTAACTATTTCAACGATATATTTCATGACAAATTTCGATTTATATTCACTTACAGTAATTCTAATGTAATTCTGTTTCTGTTTTATTGTTCGTTAGACATTCCGTACACGTCGGAAGTTGATTATGTCAAAATGCAATGAGGCACTTATACCGGTGTAAGTTTGTAGCAGCCTTTTAAATGTAAATCTACCACGTCTTGATCACAATTTTTCTTGAAGTCACACATTTTTCAAATACCAAGTGGATCAATACTAACTCGTTGTTTGCCACTCACTAGTAAATAATCCGTTCATCATTATCTTAATAATTTTGGTACTTGACTTTCAACCATTAAGTCGCAGGTTTGAGTCTCGCAGTCAGGCAATATTACTATTCCTCGCATTTGTGGCGGAAACCCGATTACACCAATCTGTACGGAACAAAGGTGTTGCATCATCGCTAGACCACGCAGTTGACAATCATGCTGTAACTACTGAGGTATGAACAGTCAGTCAACATCACTGAGCTCCGCAAGAAGGTTAACTTGAGACCAAGTGCCCTATTTTATACTTGGTACTACATTGACATTGTTCAACTGTAAATAACTCTATACTTCACAAACCTTATGTAATACCAAATCATAACAAATGTACATTCGGAAGTGACTGCCAATATAAGCTTTTTAAAATTACATTATGAATGTTCTTACAACCTGTTACTGTATGACGAAAAGTAGACATGTCAACTTCCTGTTGGCTACTCTTAATTAAGCTGTGTTTAAATTCGAAAAATTATACTACTCAGTCTTCATGTCTATATCAGGACTGTTGTAATTTACATTTGATAGTCAGTCCGTCAGTTTCAACGTATAACTTCGTACCTACGTACATCAGTTCATGTTGCCATACCACATTAGCACGCAATTGTCACTTCATATCTCATAGAAGTAGAGGAAGTAAAGTAGTTGCTACCTTGACCTGGTGGTCGGGCCTGCCTATCATGATGACCCAACCGATCTGGAACATATGTTCCTCTAGGTTCTACCATGCCAGGCAGATCGATTGGAGAACGATGAGACTAAAAGCAACTACTCAAGGTCTAAGGACGAAGTCGTACTGCTAACTGCAGAGACGTGTGGCATCAGTAAAGTGTTTCCCTTGGACAACCAGCATCTACAGCGATGCTTCCTAGTATGGTTGCAGAGGCAAATATCTTCCACTTAAATCATAGAGTTTGAGATTGTTTATTCTGAGAAAATAGATTTTATGTAATGAATACTTATGCATGCCAGAGTAACTTAACTGCAAATCATTTTGTGAACAACATATACTGAAATAAGTACTAATTTTCATCAATCGTTGCAATTAAACCCGATTGTTTTGCTCTGGATTGATGATAGCGTAAAATATTTTCTGAAATTCTTTCAAAGTAAATTGTACTATGAACGTAGAATGCAAAAAACTGCAGCGAAAGAGCAACTAACTTTGAATTCAAGATAATCTTTCGAGAAGTTAAATTCTATTTTCTATGAGACCTTGTCTATACAGTTGTGATATTCCGACGTATATTGAACAAACACAAGTATATTTCATTCTACAGAGTCATCAAAAAACATGTTTCTTTGCTAGATCCAAATAGTGTCTATCGACATTTTCCGTGTTTGTACTGGGATATCATGTATAAAACCTGTCCAAATCATTATCTCTCAATGACCTGATATCTTTTTAAGAGGACCATTTATAAAGTCGTTTCCTCGAATCTCTTTATATTATATCTTACTATACAGTAGTTTGGAGTAAGAATTGATGAACATAGAAAATAAATCTTGCCGTTGAAGTTGGATTTTAATACTATATACGATATCACTTCTAAATAACGCTTTTATCTTTGAAATTCCAGTGCAAATTCATAAAATACAATTAAGTATTGACAAAACAGTCATATCATCTTTGTTGTTGCGGCATAAATGTAATACTGCTTTCTTAGTTGGCCATTACTTTTTGAACATTGTTCACTCTTAAAATAAATCTTAACAGCATTAAGGAGAATAGCAGATATTCAAAATATTTATTTAAATCAAATTCCTCCCATATAAAATAATCTTTAATGCACAAATGATAAGTCATGTAAATTTTATAATTTGGGAAATAATTGCAATAAAATAGACATTAAAAAGACTATCTGGTTCGTTGTCATGACCTAAACTTGAATTTAAACACTTGTTCACCATTAAACGTTCCACTTTTATTGTTGTACTTGTGGTGAATTTAACAATAGTTTATCATTTTATACTTCTTTGGTGTGTATGCATCTGATTGGCTGAACTGTACTGATACTTTCTGTCAACTACGTTAGCTTGTACTACTACTTAATTTTTTATTAGAAATATTTACTTCATTCAAATATTCAGTTCTGATTGGTTTTGAACTTTCCATTTTACAGATCCGTTATAAAGTCCGGGAAAATAAAAGCCCTTATTAATGGAGAAAATTTAATTTTAGATAATGGACGTGTAGTGAGTGAATTTTTTATGACTCCTGTAATTTATAATTAAACTTACTCTAAGCATAAAAATAAGAAGATTGTCAACTTCTAATCAATTATTATGCTACACTTTTTTAATGCCCAAGAATTAAGTCTCCGCTTTTGATACTCTGATCATAGATTATGTTGTGATACATTACATCAACAAGTAATCAGTTTGATTTTAATAAAACGTACAATTACCGAATAAAATAAGTACTGATGTATAGGTAGAAGATGGGCTTAACAAATATAAAATATCTAGAGTTGTAAATCCAACGACTGAGATAGTTAGAACCGTGAATTGATGACTATGTGATCTGAAGTACCTATTGGAAGTATTAGTTGTAATAGTAATAGGCTACTGATTTCAACAGTTCCTACATAGTAGTCAATGTTTGCGATAGTAGCAACTGTCCATTCACATAAATATTTAAATTTTCCATTGTAAAAATCTTTTATTACTATAACTGATCATATAAAATAATTATTGTAAAGCGGTAAGGTGTGTATATATATGTATGCATATATATATTCATCAATCGAATTCTTCACTATATATTTTTATATTATATTTCGGTTTATTTTTACTTGATATCTAGATCTCTCCAGATGAAGTAACTTTGCCATCGTCACCACCAAAAAATATGCTCTTCATTGACTGTCCGAATCTTGATTACATCCCTTCATTTCTATCTAACGAACAGTTTTTCAACTCTCTTCAGGCAGAGGAGCCCGATGAAAATCTAGCCTCGGGTGTATCTTTAGTTGTTCATTTTACACCACCAGGTCTGTTCTTTTCAGATCAGTACCAAAAATTTGTACAGAAGTAAGTTGAAACGCTCACTAACCTAACCAGTTATGGCGACAAATTTGATAAATGTAGGCGCATCGTAAAGTGAACCTTCCATGGAAAACGTGAAAAGTGTTGTATAATCCCATTGTAACCACATAACTTGTGACTGCTATTCACATTTATGATGATGGATTAAATATTCAAGCACAGGAGTTGCGCAAGAGTGGAAAATGCAACTAGTTATTTCAAAATTTAGTTAAATTTTACAGAGTCTAGATCAGTGATAATGGTCAAAACTCAACTCTGATCATTTTAGCCATGATTCCATGGTTAAAGCATTCGATTTGTGCAAGCAAACTCCCGACTATATTGTCTATTGCTATAAAAAGTAGACACAAATGATATTTGTTGCGAGAAAAGCTGAAATTTAAACTACCAGTTAGTAATTAATAGTTTTTCAGTGCATATTATTTACATAAAATTTACCGATAGCATTTTATAGTAGTTTTATCACTCACTGTGTGTCTGACTACTCAGTTAACCTAGTGAAAATGTTGGTAATATCTGTACTGTGCAAGCGATTTATACCATACGTTCATATAACTTAAGAAAGCCATTCTATTTGTTTTGACGACTTAATTTTCATCCTACTTATTATCGTCTAGTTTCTCATTTTTTATTGATTAGCCTAAACGTATTATTCATTAACTTATAATTACTCGGTTATTGGGACGTGCTAGTTGAGTGAAAAAGTAAAGTGGTTCACAAATCCCACAAATGATTCAATGGAAACGTAATCAGTACTCATTTTCAACATCTATGTATCAATACTATGATTATTAGTCTTAGTTTCAGGACATATATATATATATATATATATTCTTTGGAGGCATATTTAGTTCGTCTAACTGTCAGTATCGTCTAAACGCTTTTGTTTGGCCGAAAAACTTGACCATTATTCTAAGGAATTTCCATTCTTTATACATTTAGGTTGGAAGAGTGTGCATCACAAAGATCAGATACAAATGATCTAACTACAACTCTAAAACACTTAGTTGTTGACGGCACTGGTTCTGTGACTGATCGCGTTGGTATGTATTCTCAAACATTCATTCTGAATCGGTTTTTCGACTCAAAGGTCTATCCACTACTTTTTGATATGGTAGATCCTGATACTGTTTCTGTAAGTAAACCATACAATCCATATGTAAATATTATATTTTGTCCTCTTATGTATGTGAAACCGTAAAACACTGCTCACTGAATTAATAGTTTTTCGGTGTATCACATCCATATTTCATAAATTGGGAAACGTAATATTGATATGTGTGGCCACTAACTGTCGAACTGAATCTTGTTTTTAGATGCAGTCTATCTGATTGGGGTAATTGTCTTGATTGGTATTTGGAGAGGTTAAGTGACATGATTTAGAATCAGTCTGAACGGTACAGACGTCTCTAATCTTGATTTTTCTCTGAATCTTGAGTTCCGGCATTCCTTATAATCTTTTCATTGTCTTTTCGAATCACATTCTAACTGTACAGCCTATCTTCCTATTGACTTATTTATTTATTTAAATACATTAACATCGGTATTAAGGGGCGCCAAAATATACGTGTACCACAAAAACCATTAAATATACACGTGGGCTGGGATACTGCCCGGGTGTCTTAACCAAAACAGGTGGTTTTATTGTGGGGAAACTCCATTAGCCTTTGACCAGGAGGTCTAATCCACAGGGCAGTGGAGCAACGTTATGAGCTGCAGTCCAGTGGCAGCCGATGACCAACAATAGGTTCATAAGGTATTTGTTCCTTCAATATATTGAAGCCCATGTGTATCATTAGTTTGGAATGAGAGTCTTCCAATTCACCTCAATGGGTATGGGAAAATCCGCTACCCCTAATGAAATGCCGAAAATTTGCTTTTCGTCGTCAATTTCATAAATAATCCCTAGCACGAGAAAGCAATCGGTCAGACTTTCATGGCAGTGGCTATATACATAGGTCCATTAAAGAGCTTTAGAGAGAGAGAGCGAACTCCCCACCCTTTGCTGTTTCAGGGCATTTAGAGGCCTTACTTATTATCACTGCTACAATTATTTCGACTTTTAATATTCATCATGTTAGTTTCATCTAGTTATGTTAATGTGGTCTAGCAAGTTGACTAAATGCACATCTGCTTCAGAATCTACACACATTATAACCGATTGAAAAATGCTTATTTATATCACTGCTAACTGTTACAATGTATTCAAGGTAAACATTTAATCATTTTCAACGTTATTCTTCTGAATTTGTTTGTATTTCTAATTATCAAACATTTAACTTTTTCAAAATTTTACCATCCTATCAGAAACGGAACGAAACAATATCAAAGGATATTGATCCTTTCTCTTCTGTTGTAACTGCTGAACCTTATTTGCGATTTTGTTTAAGACCTTGGGGAGGATTTAACAAGTAAGATCTGCGATTGTTTTTCAAATTTACGAAATTTTGATAAAACCACATAATTCATAATATTTTAACTTGATTTGAATTTCTAGTCATAGTTATTTAAATATCTTTGATTCATTTAAATTGAAATTCTGGTTAAGTTAAATTTTCTGAATACTGTGAGTAAAAGTCCAAAAAATGTTTAGTATAGGTTTTTCTTCCTATAAATTCAAAATTAATCTGCAAGACTGGTCTACGTCAACGCTCAATCTAACCATATGAAGTGAGTTAATTGAACACTCAGGAAACTATTGGTTTGTGAAGGCTTAGCCCTACGGTGTTAGTCTCTAAAGGGATTTAGCTGCATGGATTTTGGAAGTTCAGTTGAATTCTGCGAACTCAAACCACCTGTGATGTAGGCGGGATAACCAGAGGATGAGTATACTGCTCAGTAATCTGCTCTGTTTTATTGTACGGCTGTGAAACAGCGTTTAAACGTAGGGGATATGTGTATACCTCAAGCATTTGATCACGTGTCTTCGGAGCATTATTTGCATATGATGGGAGAACCGAGTGAGAAATGCTTGAGGTTAGACGTAATCAGTCAGTCAGCCAGTTACAATGTAGAACTTCCTACGTACGCACATCAGTTCAAGTTGCCCATACCACATTAGCACAGAGACGCAATTGTCAATTCAAATCCCATAGTAGTAAAGGTGGTAGATATATAAGCAGTAATAAGAAAGATTAGGTTTCGAAGATATTATTCAAGAAGTATAATCCAGTGTAATAAATTTAAAAAGAGAAAAAAGGCAATTCCGAAGATTAGGATTTGGGAGAACACAAAGATGCACCTGCACTATTGCAAACGATTTTGAGCCATGTCATTCAAAGTCTCTAACCATCGGTTACTATTGTCTCGCGGATCCTAACTAGTCATTCTACACCTACCTGCATAGCTCAATCTACTTACCAGTGACCTTTTGTATTCGTTCCATGTTTTGGTTTGGCCGCCCCTAGCTTTCTTTCGGCCTACTGCCACATCACAAAACATTGCTCGTCGCGGCAGTCGGTAGTTAGGCATACATAACACATGTCCCCACCATCTAGAATGTTGATTCGCTACTTCATCTATTGATCTGTCATTCTTACCTAGTACCCGTTTCCTAACAACAGAATTGCTTCCTCGGTGGTCCCAGAATATACGAGCAATGCTTCGGAGACATCTATAGTCGAAAACCAGTAAACTGCGAATACCCTCTATTCTTACCGACCATGTTTCACATCCATATAATAGGAGGGAGTGGACGACTTACGTCGACAATGAATACTCCCTGAAGTAAGCATGGATTGGAAAAATACTAGAGTCAGACAGATCAAGACATGACGTAAGTTCAAGAAATCACTTGCTAGTGAACTGAGTCACGTCAATAGATACAGCAGACACATTGTCTGAGGTTACTCTGATAACTGCTAAGAAAACTGCAGTCCATTTAGTTATGTCGATAGGTGTTAGTTCTTTTTTGTGATGGTAATCACGAATACAATCTTGAAAGCTCGTACTTCCGCATGATGTTTACTACTTTCTTATCAGTTGTTATTACCTACAGTTCGCTAATTATTTTGTGCTGAAGTAATATTTAGCCTATATTTGTGGGTTTTTTTTAACTTGTTTTCGTTACATATTAAGTCTTCTTGTGCACTGCTGGTTACTTTTTGGTTTCCATCGTTAAGGATTATTGATAAAATATTGTTAGTTACTATGATATCAAGCACACTGTACCCCGTATAGTAACACAGATACATTGTTCATTTTCTCCAGAATTATGAGTCGCTTTATTGTCATCTTTTTATATCTCCAAGTCTTTCCTTGTTTTTGGAACCATATTCAGTATGTTTACTTTTTTAATCATCAACAATACTGCTCTAGCCTTGACTATCTGTCAATCTTGTTAATTTTTCACCATACTGATTTGATATGGTAACTTAGGCTAACGCTTATTCGTGTCATTTTCTCTGCATTATGATTCAGGTTACTAAACGCATTTACTATTATACATTTTGTACTATTTCTACAGCAATTTTTATCTCAGACATACCGTCACTTTTATATTCATATGTAACATGAATAGTTCTCTCTGATTTATATAACAATTAACATCATATCCTAGTATGAATATGATATGAAGAAAGGATTTAAAAATTTCGTCCTCTCTCTCTCTGTGGTATGCTACGCTGCCACGATAATACGGTACTAAGACAAGACTAAACGATCAAGTTTGTAATACCGCTAGATTGGATACTCGAACGATGCATTATACAGATACTCCATTCACGACCAAACTAGGAAAACACTAGCCAATAGTTTATTCGACACAGTTACAAGCAGTCACTCTCCGTGAGTCTAGAGTGAAAATCAATAAAAGAAAAGGAGACTACATTTAATAGTCAGTATGCTGAATGCCTGTTTGTCCAGACATACGGATTAATCACATTTCACTCAAAACGACATATCAGAATTATTTACTCATCGTGTTTATTCTTCGAAAAGTTAATAGTAATAAATTCTTATTAATTTAGACCTGCTTATCCAAATTTGAATGGTGATGAGTTTGTGTCGCAACTTTTTGATCCATTTTATATGAGTTTACAAGAAGCAGAGGAACAATTTGTTAAGATGAGAGAATCTGTTGAATCCAACAAACTATCAGGTAATCTTTCTAATCAATTTAATGCTTTGTGTACATAAACGTTATAATGAGTTTTGTGCATTTTTTTAATGGTATACTTAATGAGTCAATGGGTCAATCAACATTCTATCCGGTGTTAGTTTTACAGTGGCGTAAATGTTAAATCAAGCATCAGTATTCATCAATTTATGAAAGAAAACAGAATATAGTTGATTGAACCAAGATTACTAAGAGTTCGAATTTCACAGCATTATAACACTAAATAGACTGATGAATTTTTTTGATCGTTTTCATTTGATTATCTCTGATCCTTAAAATCATAAATAGTTTAGTTACTTGTTTGTCATATGAATACTAGCATGTTTCAGTTGACAACTGTTCAGAAGCAAAACCTTGATATTTCAACAGTTTGGGACAATCAGTTTTGTTCCATGAGTATTGGACAAAGTGTTTTTTAGTACGAGAGATTAAAATTGCGTCAATCGATATTTTGTCTAAATCCCATGTTGTTGATGTATATCACGGTACTCGGTTGTAGTAGGAAATCGTTGCCTTTCCTTTCAAATGAATCCGACTTTATTATTAAAATTTGTACTGGATTAGATAATTAAATTATTTATAGAAGTAAACCTTATGTTATGTTCGGTATATTTACGCTAACATCTTGGTACCGGCGAATGGGACATAGAGCTAACAACAACACAATAACAGGCCTAAATTAAGCTAGTCCTTTGTGCTTCAGCCCAGCTAATTAGAGGAAGGAGTCCAGAGTCAGCAGGATGTATATACAATTCCACATTTAGCCCGGAAGAACATATAGAAAGCACTCAACTCATGCGTAATACAATAAAAAAATGTCCTTAAAGTATCACAAAATAGCGTACTAAAAAAGCGAACGAACAAATGATGTTAAATATCCTTCCATATGAGATCCACAAACTGATAGTAATAATGGATGTTTCTAGCAAGAGAATGAGAAATTCAGCTTTCCACAAATTACAAAAATTAAAAGTCTAACAAGTGGCTTCTGGATATTTATCATCCTCAAAACTGGTATATCTAACAGGATTATTTGATTGGAATAACAATTTTATCATTCACTAAAGAAACCATTACGTTGAATTTCACTGCTCAAACTACCAATCAGCTTTGTTCAGCTTATATTACCTCTTGTTACTGCGAGTTGTTTCTGAAGATTGTCCATTTCCATTGTTTATGTCACGTACTGACCTTAGATAATCAATCAAAATTAGGAAGCACTGAACAGGCGTGCGTATTCATGACCCTGGGATCAAACTAGATATTGAAAACTAATTTCTCAATAGCACAAATTATTTTAAGTTAGATGTACATCCCATCGAGTGCTAATCCAGTGGTCTAGAGTTTAAACGCTTGATTCGAAACTGGGTGATCTTAGCTTCATTGCCTTTAGTAGATACGCTTTTTAGTATGTTCTCATAGATTTCATAATTCAAAAGGTAATTCTTGCGAATAGCATAGAAAAGCCAAACTTATTCATGTAATTGTGAATATATTTGTATTAGCCTGTTATTTAGATTTTGAATGATTGAAAAGAACTTTAATAACTTTTGACAATATTTATTTGTTCAGTTACAGTTATGGAGATCAGTGTTTCTGCACGTTGAAATCATCAGTCAATGATTGTTAAACCACCATTAGAAACCGGGAAGCACTGGACGGCCATTTCGTGCTGGTATGGGACTCATCAGCAGTGCGCATCCACGACTCCTGCACCTCGCAGGATTCGAACCCAGGACCTCCGGTCTTGGGCGCGGACGCCTGACCACTGGACCGTCATCCAACGGTGTTAATGTCCAAATGATCAATCTAGGGATTTCGCGCGACCTCACCCATTTGTCTTCGGTAGTTAATACTCACCAGGACTAAAGAGCTGTCCAGTTCTTCCAGGTTTCTAATGATGGTCTAACAATGATTGATTGATTCAACGTGTAAATATTAATTTAGGTAAATTACAAATCAACTAATAACATTCATATATTCAATTATATTAAAGTAATTATATGAAATTCGTGTAATTCATATATTTCTAGCTCATAGATTAGCATCAGAAGCGTATCCTGAAATCACATTTCTTGGCACTGCATCCTCTTCTCCTAATAAATATCGTAATATCAGTTGTATTCTCATGCAGTTAGAGTTAGTTTTAACATCATTTTTTGTTGTTGTGATATAATTCTTAAATGATGCAAAAATATTTTTTTTTCTTTCAAATCAATGATTTGGATTATGTTGATGAATTTATAAAATTTCATTGATTTAAATCGTTGATTTGGCCACCGTGCAATTTGTAAAAGATATTTGTTTCAGTACTTGTTTAGTTTGCCTTGCTAGAAATCTTTTGGGCTGTACCATCTCATTGACATTGAATAATAATTACCTTCCAGTCAATGTGACATTAAAAGTATAGCCATTGCAATTATTTTCCCCAATCATAGTTAGTTGATTAAGCTTGTGACTTCACGTTTTAAGTTGTTTAGTGTTATGCTCGTCAATTGATATGCTTGAGATTATTACGAGTTCACCCTAGTCGGTAAACCAGAATGAAGACAAATGATCCAGTGACATGATAGGCTACTCTAATCCGAGCGTCCCAAGGCCCCACTAAGTAGAGGAAGAAGTCTTGACAAGACGTAGAAAGTGTATTCTATAAGCACCCAGAAAATCGAGTTTATTTACACATGATAGAAACGTCCTTGGGAGAACCACAAAAATAGCGCACTCTACATCAACCAATAACAGCCAAGGATTTTCCGGGTGGGAAATGTAATCTCAAGGTCAACTGATCAGCTTATGCGCAAAAACAAAGTCCGAAATCAGGACCTTTATCAAGTGAATTCTGGGGACTTCACGTCCCCAACAGTTAGTCAAAAAAATTACAGGATTGCTGAAATTATTTTTAATTTTAATCGCTGAAATTGATACAAACTTAGTCTACTTTTCGGATGCGTTTCGTAAATTCGACGCGTAACTGTTGTTAAACTATCTTCAAATATGAACATTGATTTTTATAAAATGTAACGTTGTATTCAAACATTTATTCCAACCATACGCACAAGCATCCTTGTTTATAAATTGTTGTAAAATAAAGCAATCATTATTTTTATTTCACAATATTCTACAAATCATACATTATATTCATAAATCGCTTATCTTTTTATTTGTCTTCTCCTTGCACTATTTCTCGACAAATTTTTTTCTAATATTGTACCAGTCCAGATAATTACATTATGTTGGATTGTGGAGAAGGTTCCTTAAATCAACTATATGCGTTGTATGGTATTGAAAAAGGGAATGATGTTTTGCGAAAACTTCGATTAATTCTCATTACTCACATGCATGCTGATCATCATGGTGTAAGTTTTTCACATTTTATTTATATCCTTTTCTGATTTTTAATTTGATAGTTTTTTTTTTCAAGTCGATAAACGCTATCGATCCAATCAGTCATAAGCAACGTTGAACGTGAAACATATGGGCATCGATACAAGCGGTTGCTATATTACAGCTCAACGAAATGTTAGAGTGACAGAAATAATAACAGTATCAATGATAGTAGAAGACATTAAGCATAGAAAATATGATTCTAGAAAAAGTGATGAATTCACAGGATAAAGAGTATAAGATAGTTTTAAAACTTAAGACCTAAGAGAAACTGAAAATCGAATGCGTCTGTATCATTGCAACTGATTCTAAGCCAATTACAAATTGATATTTGATAACTCTAAAATACATTAGTTACTCCCTCACAGTTTATTTAGTCTATGCAAAATTATAATCCTGCTACATGGTTTAACGCGATGCGTTGAATAAAATCAATGTTATAAAATCTAAAGGCTTATTAGTTGCAAGTTCAGTCCTTAAACCGTTGAGTCACATTTTATCTACGTGTATACGACTATGGTTAGTGGTCATTCTGAGATTTAAGTTCCATTTAAATCCTGCTTCATTAATTAGATGCAACTTAAAACCAAGTACACGAATTTGTACATAGTATGTGATAGTGTTAATAAAACCGAATTAATGGAGGACAAGATAGCGTATCCTTACCTATCACCCTATGTACAGCAATCTACATTCGTACTTATTATTAACTTGTACATCATTGATGTTTTATGCGTGCATATGCCGATAATCTAGTAAAAAAATTCCATTTGACTTGTGTTCAAGAATTTATTGGAAATAATACTAAATAAATAAGAGTTTAAATAGACCTAAGTCATCCAGTGTGTAGATCGTATTGATTTTGCTGTTAGTTTTCCTGATATGTAGGTTTTTGACTACATTGCATCTAATGTTTTCACATATGTTTGTTCATTAACTTGAAAATGAATTTGTTCTAAATATGCATTCTCATAGCTCTAGCCTAAATCAAACTACTCATTTTAAGGATGCAAGTCATTTATAAATGCTGTTCATTTGTTGAGCTAGCGAATTTTATTCAGTATAAAACTGGATTCATATCCATACTGATACCGTACCACCACAGCTAAATCTGGTTTTGAAAACAAGTGTTAGAATAGTAGTAGTTCATGTTGTTGTTGTAAGTGGTTTGACTCAAGAAGAAAGAGTACATTCTTAGAACAGAGTGAGTAATCATTTTAAGACGTTAAATCTATCTATGCTGTTGTGACTGTATCGAATGTACTTAGTTATGGCAACCGCGGTGCCTCTAACCAAGGTATTCTACCTCAATCCAATGGTCAGTAGTATCATAAATTGTTGATCAGTTTCACAGAAGCTTCATCAATTAGAATAACTGGAAAAACCACTGTTCATTAGATATCAATTTAACAGTGAGTTTTAATATTTCTGTTTAGGAAGCCTAAATGTTCTTATTTTTAATCCATGAATAAGTTATTAGTTGATATCTGTTAGTTATTCTGCATTAAACCAAAATAACTATCTTTTGTTTTTTTTCGTGAATTTTGTTTTCTTATTAGTTCTGAAAATTGTTTTTAGTACGTTATGGCAATCCATCTTTATGGTAGGCAGAACCGTCTGTAAATGCAAATTATTTAATGCCAACCCCCCAGTATTCGAATTGTTAAACGCTAGCCTGTATGTCTTAGGGTTGGACTAGCAATTGGGTCGTAGAAGTACACTACTAAGGAGTCTCATACTAAAACGAAATAGCTATCTATTATTTTCTGTTTTTCAGTGATTGCCTAACTAAGTTCCATTCGTGGTATAGTCTATGAGAAAGGAATTTATTCAATTAGCACAATCTGTATCATCTTTACAAAGCTATCCTTTTTAACTGTTTTTCAAGGGTGTCTTTACAGTGGCTTTAGTTCGTTCCAATATACTTAAATCAGATAATATCGATCAATCAAATTATTTATTACCTGTTCTTGCTCCATCAGCATTCTATCATTGGTTACTTAATTTCCATGAACTTTTCCATTATGATCAAATTATTAATCCATTCATCATACCAAGCCTTTATAATGAATCGGATGATAAGTCAAATCCATCATGGTTATTAAACATGAAACGAAATGAAACAAAACATTGGTTGAAATTATTAGAACAGCTTAATATCAATGTAAGTAGATTTTATCGTTTCTATTTTGTTGTGAAGTTTTAATAGTTCAATCTTAATTTAATGTATTTGTTTTGTATGCATATTATCGAATGTATAAGAGATAATCCAGATATTTAGCATCTTATTGTTATTCCACAGGACTACCTTATATAAATTAGTTATTCAGTTCATCCTACTAAGTACCACTATTGAAGGTAGTCAGTCAGTCAGTTACAACGTAGAAGTCCGTACATGAGTACATAAACTCAGGTCGCCATACCTCATCAGCACAGAGACGCAACTGCCAGTTTAAATAACATGGTGTTAGAGATGGTAGAAGCACTAGCAGTAATGGAGAAGATTAGGGTTCGAAGATACGATTCAAGCAGTATAATTCAGTGAGATAACTTTAGAAAGCGAAAGATAAAGGTTAGAATTTGAGAGAACACAATGAATGAATGTACCTGTGCCATTGCAAACGATTTTGAGCCATCTTATTGAAGATAACTTATACTTCTCTATTCCGTTGTTGTTTGAATGGATCATTTCATTGGATTTTTGACATGCTAAGTGATGGAGATTATAAAGTGGATGCAGTTGTTCACGAAAAATATATATTGTGCTCTTGTTGAAGTCATATATTATAAGGGGGCTATAGTTGTTGTGTATCCAAAAGAGAAAATGAATTGATACTGATGGTCTTTCAAAATAACCACATACCCTATTGATCATCTACAATACACGCAATCATACGCATGGAGTTACATATATACTCGATTTTTTTGGATTGCCTTTAATGGAAGAACTATATTACTTGAGGTGAATTGATGTGTTGAGTGTTTCGATCATCCTGTGATGGATGTGCGCTCACCAGTCCTGTGGCGGTCGGTATTCGAAATACTCCTAAACTTCGTATACTACTCGTCCTGATAATCGTTACTAGATAATGCCCAACGGTGTATAAATCAGAAGACGAACACGAAGCGTTGAAGACGTTTATTATCGCACCACATATCACAAAACCACAGACGCGAAGTTGGAAATGACATACGAGTGCTGAAGAGCAAGCGAGGTGATGAGCGAGCAAGATTACAACGTACATATATATATACATAGAAAAATGAATCAGTCATCGGATTATTTAAGTGGCTAGCATTAAAGCAAGTAGAATGAATATGTGTGTAGACAATGCTCAATCATACCTGCTCATACAAACACAACAATGATAAAAGCACAATGGTACAGATAAGTTGTTGCTATACGAATGACTGTTAGGTAAGTTATTCAAAAGGGTTTAACCAAATTAAATGTATTCAAACCAAAATGCACATCAGTTGTGATAATCCCTTTATTCTCCATCGTGTCAGCTAATACAGTTCATATGTATTTTGTAAAATAAGGCCAATTAACTAAATACATCATTATAATGAAGTGGCACTCTCATCAAATTGATTTTTACTGGTGAGTAGAATATTATAAATAAGATGTATTAAATGACAGAATTTGACAGAAATAAGATTTTATTGAGTAGTGGACCAGCAGTAGATTCCAAAAGATGCACCTCAAATCTATACGGAACTCAGATGTACCGAAATTTCTGTTTCTGTTTACGGAGATACTTAAGCCCTGTAGTTTGTAGATCAATCGTACTAAGAGTTATTGGAGTTGCTTTATTTAAGGAAAAATAAAAAAATAATTACTTATAAATACAAAAGTTGTGTGCATTATAAGAATTCCTTGAGAAAAATATGCAGAAGCGGTGACTTAGCTAAAAGTGCTCCATCAAATCAGCGTTCCATGAAACATTCCTCGAAAGTTCCAGAAAGTAGTTAACTTCTATTTTATCATGATTGGATAATGCCCATTTGATTACTGATTTGAACATGTTTCCAAAACTTTCCCAGAATGTCAAAGTTATAGGTACAATAAATCCTGCCTTCTATACCTAAACCAACCTTGCAAATAAAACTTTTTATTTCCTGCTTCCCGTTCTCTGTTCGAGATTCAAATACAATAAATTTCCCCTGATGTGACGCCCTTAGTCAAACGTTACAACTAATGTACGAAGGAAATCTCATATACTTTGTATGAAATTTCCTTTCTATTTTTCCAGAAATTAATTTTCTTTTTCTATGTATCTCACAATGAATTCATCAAACTATTTCCTTTCTTCGCCTTATTCTCATTGTTTCAATATTGTGTATCACAGTGTTTATCATTTTATCCATTGCAAGTTGGAACCGGATTTTAAAAAATATGTTCATACAATAATATAGTTTATTAATTACTAAAATAGTACTATTCTCATCATCATCGGCACCATCCACATTATTGCTTACAAACTGTTATTGTTCTGATTAAACAAAAATATTATCTTTAATCGTACTAATACACTAGTTACACAAAACGGTATATACGCTGCTAACAAATCAGAAAGACCAGTGTATGGGGTCGAGCCTAAAACAACTATGATGAATTTTCAGATAGTTCTCGGTCATTCAGAAAACAACTTTTATAAACAGATTGTTTGTGGTCAAGAGAACAGTGATATTTCAGAGTGTAGATAAATTCTAAATAAAATTAATGAATCTGTTAAAAAATTTTACAGGCCGCTGGCTGTCCGTTTTTACGGATTCGGATTGCCCATCTTTTCAAACACTTAACATGTCTTCACATTATTCCTTATAACAGTCAGGTATTTAAGGTGAAAAAAGATGAAGAATTTTGGAGTTTCGGTTTTTACCAAGAATTAACATAAGCTATAGTGCAAAAATGCTATATAGGGTGAGGGTAATTGAATTTTACAGACAACCGTAAGAGGTAATACCTGGTTAGTTTGCTTGTAAAGCATAATGACACCAGATAGTTTTGAAAACAAATATGTTCAAGTTTAAGGGTTCAAAGACAATGTCAATCTACCTTTTGTACATAATCTTCAGAGACAAAATTGATCAACTGATATGTTTAACACTCATTTTAAACGTTTGCAGCAGTATACAGGGGTATTCCTACCACTCCGTTACATGCGATGTTTAAATTTCCCTCAAAAACCCTAAAATTCTCGTATTTTTTCTCCTGATTGACTTGTTCTTATATCATACTTTATCAGAGTAGTTTTAACATGACAGACTTCGACTATATTTCTATCGTCTCTTGAATGCATACATCCTCAATCTACTTCTATGGTTGAATTATGACTGTTATTATTATTATTATTGTTTTGTGCTCGTCCATCACGTCTCCTGTATTGAAATTTAAAATGTACTAAGCAGTTGTGTAAATATAAATCTTAGCATCTTTTAATCTTATTGTTTAGTTTGCTTTTTTAGTCTTAACATTATCACTTAATAACAGGAAAGTAAGTTCATGATGAACTTGTTTTAAGTAACAATTAAATTAATAAAAAAAAATTGATAATATTATTGTTCAAATTTAACAAAGTTGATTAAAACCCAAAATCAAGTCATAAAAATTTAATTGCTCTAAGTGTAAACTCTTTGTTTTTTTGTATGAATTTTTCTGTATGAATTATCTAAAAAATTATTTTAATTTTACATTTACTTTCTTATGTGTCTAGTCTGAAGAAATAACTATTCATATGCATTTACTCTAACGTTTATAATGTATTGTACAAATATTGTATGTTTCTCTCGTTAGGTAAACATCATTTTAGAGGCTTTTTTTTGGATAACCACATTCGTAAGAAATATGATAGTACTTATAATTAGGAAATTCACTTTTTGTCTGACGTTGTATTGATTATACTGTACAATCTAATCAATAGCTTAATGGTTAAACTATTAGGTTATCAATTAATTAATCTAAGTTTTGAGTTGGAATCTACTTACTTCGATTGAAGAAACTAGGTTGTACCATTAACCCTACTCACATAAACAGTATAACTTCAAGCACACAAATCTACTCTCGGTAGATGAGTTACATTACAATTTGATCTGGTCTTTATACAATAGCTGTATATCATTATCGAATATATGAATCATTCTTTTGGTCCACTGATTATTTGTAAATTAGAAAGTGATAATGTGGGTGATGCTAGATCCTCAGAAATCGCTTGATAGACCACTTAATTTTGTAATTTATTTGCGCGCTTAAATCACTCCTTATTACCCTCATTTTGGCAACTTCAACTGATGTAGGTGCGTACGAAGTTCTAAGTTGTAACTGACTGACTGACCTTCAGTTTGTGTTTCCCACTTGAAATGACCTTAGACCTCATTGGCTAGTTTCCTCTTTAACTTCGCTATTTTATAACTCTTCTAAGGACACTTTTTGTACTGTATATATCACGCTTGAATTGAATGCTTATTGGTTCGTTCGCTCGAGGCTGTTTTAAATATTATATTCTTCTTGCCTACTTTGAACTTCTGGTTCTAGTTAGTTGGGCTGACCCTCAAAGGATAGCTTAACTATCCTGTTATTATGTTACCACTGTTTTACGTTCCATTCACCGATATCAAGTCGTATCTTAATTTGTGTAAACAAAGCAGATATTATTTATTGTAACTGGTTAATTCCCAAGTTATATGTTTTATAACTGTAGAAGTATAATCCATGATCAAAATTATTTGGATTTCTTTTTATCATTTAGATTAGACCTGTTATGGTTCCACACACACGTTCATCATGGGCGTTTATTATTGATAAACCTTATCCCTCAGAAAGTATAACAACCAGTAAAAATAATGCAGAAACACAACGAAAATGGTCTATTGTATATTCTGGTGATACTCCTCCATGCCCTGAACTTATCAAAGCTGGCAAAAATTGCGATTTACTCATACATGAAGCTACTATGGTTGATGAACATGAAGATTTAGCATTGAAAGCAAAGCACAGGTAAACATTTTCATATTTACATCTGTGTAACTTTCTGTATAATAATTTTGCTATTCCCACCTAAATGAATTATCTAGTTGATAAATACATTTAATGTGAATGAGTGTATGGTTACTTATGGATTCGGTTAGCCAGTAAAAGCTTCCTTCTCATTCAGGTAAGCTGGTTTGGCTCGTTAATAAGATGCTTGTTTATCATTATTAAAATCAGATACCATACAAACAATGAAACGATAGGTATCATCAGTCGAAACTCATTAATCGTTACGCTTATAATTTAATAAATATTTGTACAATTTAACGCATTCAATACTTTTTTTATCAGAATAATCTACAGATAAACGCTTCAGTCTGCTTGAATTTTCTTCTTTTTTTTTATTTTTTGTTATGTTAAAGTACAACAAGTCAGGCTATACAAGCTGGACGCGATATGAATGCTTCATTCATTCTGCTGAATCATTTTAGTCAACGTTATGGACGTATTCCACCGATACATGAATTTGAATCGAATGTAGCTGCATCTTTTGATTTTATGACGGTGTGTTGTTTTACACTTTTAATGTTTTCCCATTTCATCCTCAAGATTTTTGTTTCGCAAAAAAGCCTAGCAGAATTATTGTCATTAATCTTTATTTCGAACGAAATTTGATTTCACATTCGTGAAAATGTGATGTATGCCTAGTTAATGCTAAGCAAGTCTAGCACAAATTGATAATCTAGCTTTTTTCATGGAATGTAAAAATAAACTATTGTTTGCAGTGTAGGTATGCAAGATATCACCTCTCCGCCTCCATTATATCTGCTAACTCTTTGACTCATCCGAAAAACAACTTCGGAATACTCAATTGTTTTAATCTTCTGAAACCAGTTTACTAATTAGATTTTATTTACGCATGTTACCCCTAGTAGAGGCATAGGCCGCCAACCAACATTCCCCAACCTACTCTGTCCTGGGCTTCCCTTTCTAGTTCTGACTAACTTTTGTTTATTCTTTTCATGCCTGTCTCCATTTCTCGGTGTAATGTGTTTCTTGGTTGTCCTTTTTTCCTTTGATCTTGATGGTTCTAAGTGAGGGCTTGTCTTGTGACGCAGTTGGGTGCTTTCGTCAATGTGTCCTATCCACTTCCAGAGCTTCCTGATTCTTCCCCCGGAATCTGGTTTGTTCTCTTCCACAGTAGGTTGTTGGTGATAGTGTCCAAAGTATTTTGCGTAGACAACTGTTAATAAACACTTGTATCATCTGAATGATGGCTTTGGTGGTTTCCAAGTTTCCGCTTCACAGGACTTTCTTGACATTTGTATTGAAAATTCTGACTTTCATGTTGATTGATAGTTGTTTTGAGTCCCAGATGTTCTTAAATTGTAGAAATACTTCTTTCGCTTTGTCGATCCGCACCTTCACATCTGCATCAGATCCACTGTGCTCATCAATTAGATTTAACAGCATGGAATAATTAGGCATCGATATAAGATCTTAATCGTATCAAGATTGATATTGACTCGTAGTCTTTACATAAACGTTATTGATGCATGTTTACCTGTTCTACACGTTTATTCATTATCACGTACATCTTCATTCAAAAGTTGCCTACATTTATATATATTACAGAGTTCTAAAATAAAGTACTAAGAATAATAACCTTTATAGCCCAACTGTTCCCAACTAACTTTGAAAGCCTCATTATAATTCTATCAGTAACTACTTTCGTATCGTATTTTTATCAGCCTTGAGTGTACATGTATCCAGCTTTTGAGTTCACCTTATGATTTGTGACATTGCAACTTGTTATATCAGTGTACTACTCATCTCACTTTTATACATATTCGAATTGATTTTACTCTATTGTCTTTTTCCTTAAAAATGAAATTAATTCATCTGTTTTATTTTGTTCTTCTTGCAATAGGTGAAATTTTGTGATCTACCACGATTACCTTATTATATTCCATATTATCAGTATGCATTTGCTAAACATTGGACTATAGCCAGATCTAAAGCAGATTCTTATGCATATCGTAGACTTCGTGAGGCTGATGAACAACTGGCTGAAAGTAAAGATGCTAATTGTACAAAAATTACCGACCATGATGATGCTGATAACGATGATAAATCTTTGTTAAATGTACAAAATCGTAAAAAAATAAATTTATAATTAATGATTAGAACAGAATATTATTTAGTTCTTGATTGCTTTATTGGCTTTTTTTCTATTGACTTTCCCTTTCAATTATCTATCCTGTTAGAAAGAATAGATTGTTTCAGTTTTTCATGATATTGAGTTAGTATTTTTTAAATATTAAATATCATATATTCATTACATTATTACATGTAAGATAAAAAAACGTTAACCAACGATACTTCTTCAACTATTCAGGGAAAGATATCGAGTCGAACTTTGTCCACATATGACATAAAGATATTACCGTCTAATCGATTTCTTTAATTCCGTTTGGTACCCAACTTTTAGTCACCAGTCATTAGATGGTAAAGAAAATATGTGGCTCAGGTGGATGATTATGGTGGAGTTTTGTTCTCTGAGCTAGACAAACAATGAAAGCTCAGTGACCAAAACATCCAGCTCAAAGAAGGAAACTCCACTGTATTCACTGGTCGTTAAAAGGTTGAGAAGTAATCTCAGTGACGAAGCTGCAGGTAATACTTTGATTTGATATCTCTGTCTACTTATACTGGCTAAAACACTCGTTTCTTCAAGTTTTACAATGGTAGAGAGATTAGAGAAAAGTAATTAAGATCCAAATGTGAAGTTTTCCAACTAAATCTATGCTGTTTTGTAGATGCAGTAAAGTGCTACTGTCTAACAGCGACACCGTTTTCTTATAACGAACAGAAAGTGATATTAGAAAAAGGCTGGTCTTATTGAATTACCTTTCCTGGTCCCACAGCTCTTCATCACTATCGATAAGGTATAAAAATACGAAGTCTACTCACAAGCAGGTTGTGTATGATTAGTGCCGATTAGTTGTCCCTTTGACTGCGTTCCAGGTCGTTAGGATCACTCGTAGCGAGCCTCCAATAGACCGAGATTTTCTTCCTCAGTACTATTGCTGGCCATTATCCGTCTATGCTTATGAGCTGTCAGTAATATTGAAGTAATCCGCACAAGAGACTCATGTGTTAAAGTGGCTGATCAATTGCAGTCCCAAACACCTATGGGAAAATTCAAATAACCAATCTAAAAGAATTATACTTTTAAACTGTGTTTTTCACTGAGATTTATTATGATTTTTCTATCTCTTTCAAGTTTTCATCTTGTAAGTTTTCCTTTGCCATCGTGTTGTAAGGTATGGTAACTTAGTTAAACCATTATTTATTTACAATCAAAACATTATTTTTATAGTAGACAAGTGTTAGTCACCATGTAAATGTGTGGTTTGATTGGAAGAAATGTAATTACACAGACAATTCTGATTGCAAATCACAAATGTCAAGAAGTATATAATTATGCTACAACAGTTTCAAAGGACAGTTCGCCATAAGCTTTGATTTGAGTAGTACCTCGTATAAGGGTAATATAGTTCTTTGGTACACCTTTCAATGACAGACACTGCCACAGAACCTCACGATCGACACAGACAACTGCCGTCTTAAGGTCCAGGAATACAACTATTGTCGGACGCCTAAATGTGTGTATGTGTTCCATTCTTTGTGTTCTCTCAAATCCTAAACTTTTTCTACATTTCGTTTCTCTCATTATTTAACTTATGTTCATAAAGCTTTCACGGATTTCTCTTAAACAACTTGTCCCTTTGATATGGCTTAATGGTCGTAAACAATTTCATACATTGATTGTCACTCAAATAATTCACTTATATAACATCTTTAATTGCCACATGCATTAAAAAACTCTGAAGGCAATATTATTCTCTTAAGTTTACAGATGATAGATAATCTAACTAGTACAAAAGTTAAATCTAAAAATTCCTACCGAAAGCCCTCAAATATTTTGAACCAAGTCTACTGTGAGATTGATTCACTTAACATGTACAATGTAATTATGGTTGACAGGATTCCATGGAATATTAATGTCATCTTTTATTATCTGATTTGAATTGACAATTACATCTCTGTGCTGATGTGGTGGTATGGCAACATGAACTGATGTACTTACGTACGAAGTTCTACGTTGCATCTGACTGACTAGTGTTATAGAAATTCAGATGAATGGCAAACACATTTTATTTCAATATTCTTAGAATTCTATTCATTCATTAGTTTCACATCTTCTCTTTTAGTTAAATCAATCCTATCATACTTAATATTTTCAGTGACAATTTTTGTTATCAATTATTTATTTTCTTAGAAAAAGACACTACTATGAATTTTTAATAACAAATCTGTAAATAAATGCACAAACTAATAATAAATTCGTCTACATTGAATTTTGTTTCTTGTTGTTTTTTAACATTCTTATGGGAATTAACAGTAAAAAGTTACATTAGCTTTCTCTAAAAAAAAAAGTTAATAATATGGTGATATCTATCACAACACTTGAATTTTAGTAATTTCCGATGTACTACTGTTTAGCCTAGACGACTCGAAAAAAAACATCTGTAATTTTGAATAAGTTATTTTTTTTCATTTCACAATAACCGGTTCTTTTTTATGTCTACATTATCAGATAACATTCAAAGTGAAGTTCATTCACACACCTGGGTGAAATCAGTAAAATTCTCATTTGCTTACTTAGTCATCTAACGTTGCTGGTTAATGTTAAAGATCAACGTTTCCATCATAGTCGCTGCGAAGAAATTATGCTTGGCTGTTCACATGTTTGTTCGTAAGATTCTGGACTTAAGTGAATTTTCCACTGAAAATCTTTGAAGCAATATCTTTGGTTATTGGTCCCCACCGCAGTTGATACCTTGAAGTGGTGGTCGGCCTAGCCTATCATGATGACCCAACTGAGCCATATTGGCTGGAACATATGTTCTTGTAGGTTCTGCCATGCAGGGCAGGTCGATTGGAGAACAATGAGACTAAAAGCAGCTATTCAAGGTCTGAGGGCGAAGTCGTACTGCTGACTGCAGAGAGATGTGACAGCACTAAGGTGTTTCTCTCGGAAAACCAGCATCTGCAGCGATGCTGCCTTCTCACAAGGAAGGAGGGGTTAGGAAAGGTCGACCCTAAAAATGTCACACCTCACCTTATCCCTTTCACAGTGTGGGCACCCGGAAAGTGATACCCGCCCTTATACCCTTATCAATCGGTCCCTTAATTAGGTGGCCTGTAAAACCTGGCGAACGAACAGCTTGAGAGTATTGAAGAAATACGTATAAATTTTTTTAACGGTGATTAGCTGCTATCGATATTGTTTTCATGACATTTTTCCTCATAGTAAACCCCTTTCATTTCCTAAAATTACAGATAAGTAGAGAAATATGCGAATTACTAAAGTGGTTTTTCTTTGGTTTATCGGTAATTAGACTTGTAACTAGTAAAGAATTCATAAAAGTGGTAGTAATGGCTTAAAACAAATCTGAGAAAAAATATGCTGACATTGGACAATGTCTGAAGAGATGATTGCCCAAAGGATTTAGTAGTTTGTGTCTAGCTACTGTAGTTTGTATCTTCTCAGCAATGTTCATCCATAATCACGTAGATTTTAGGACATTTAGGCTAATAATAATTACGATAGCCGAAAACTACTGAATAACAGCTTATTTACAACAGTTTAAATTGTTTTATGGAGGTGATTACACTTTCTTATATAGTGAGCCAATCAGAAGTAATCACTTGATTATAATCAGAAATGTCCTAAAGAACGAATGCCTTATCTTCGTATGAGGTTTGCAATCACCGTCAGGCACATGATACTAGTAGAATTTTACGCAGGATTGAATCAAATCCTATTCTAATATTGACCGTTATTATAAATGAATGTTATCGTGTTATCAATCTTAAAACTGATGCTAAGTTGATCGAATCCTAATCATTTGACCCAATGAAATTTCCTCATTTAAACCGTATTATTAGTGTCTCAAAGCGCAGAAGTTTTCTCCCTCAAATCGAATGCATTTGACGTTACTCTGAGTTCTCAAAGACTTGATCCACCAAGCATTGATCATACTACCGATTGCATAAAGAATGTATTGGGTATTCCAATTAGAATTGATTGAATTATCAAATTTATTGGTTTAATTATTGGGTCTTGACTGGCTCACAGATTAAAAAATATTTGACCAGCTATTTGACATTTATTGTAACCAACTATCTTGCTCAACCCTTCAACAGTCTTTCCATCCAATTATTATGAACATAAGGGATCTGAAGTTTTTCGGCGCTTTTCAAAATAATTACAAGGGGACGGTAAGAAAGAAGAAACCAGCACCTCCCCCCACAAGTGTTTCTCTTAAGCTGAAAAAGTGTTCGTCAGAAAGACTCTCACTTCGTTTGACGCCATGTATCCACAGAACGAAAGGTGAGATTATCAACCCAAGGTTAAGAATGCCCATCGAACCCTTGATGGATTACCAGTATATGTAAGAAATTTCTGACCATGGGGACCTATGTGGTTAGCCGCTGTCATCGTAAGAAGATTCGGGGACGTGACCGATGTTCGGTGGAAAGTCTGATAAGACATGTAAACCACATCGAGGACAGACGACTAAATTCGAATAAAGAAGCCCCTAGCGCGTACTTACCAATGGATTACTTGGTCATTGCTGGAGTGACAGCTCGACGCCAGGAGCATAAGCGAGAAACATCAATCCCCTCAGCGCCTTCAAATAAACGGAAGAAGCTGGGCATTTTTTCCAGGAGACATAGGTGATATAGTGAGCCATTGACAGGTGATCAAACAAGAAGGTCACTAGATGATGCATATCACTGACGAAGAAATAAATCCATTTTCAAAGAGGAACGAATATATATATATATATGTATATTATTCGGTTGCCAAGCAAACTTTCTGTTTCACTCTTGAGTTCTCGCTTATGTATTCAGCTTGGGAGTTTATCAAGTATTGCGTTCAGATCTCGGCCAACGCTCATGATGACACTTTATTAGTCAACGCTAATTGTGACTGATTAAAACTTGCTGTAACTGGTAAATTTCTTTTATTCCTTGAAGGAGGAGTGGCTTAATATATACTGACAAAATGCTAATTTTTGTACCTATTAGTTTATCGTCTAC